CTGACCTAACATACTGGGGTCTGTTGGTCAGAAAGTCCATTATCCAGTGACGGAGGGAGGTGTTGAAGCCCAGGTCTCCGAGTTTAGTGTTTAACTTGGAGGGGATGACAGAGTTGAATGCTGAGCTCAAATCAACAAACAGCATTCGTGCGTATGTGTTGTTATTGTCCAGATGTGTGAGCACAGACTGCAGCGCAGTGGAAACTGCATCCTCTGTACTCCTATTGCTGCGGTAGGCAAACTGGTATGGGTCCAGTGTGGGTGGGAGGCAGTTTTTCAGGTGTGCTAGGACCAGTCGCTCAAAGCACTTCATTATGATGGATGTGAGTGCCACAGGGTGGTAGTCATTCAGGCCTGTCGGGCTGGAGTGTTTCGGCACTGGGACAATGGAGGTGGCTTTGAAGCATGCTGGCACAGCTGCTTGGGCGAGGGACAGGTTGAAGATGTTCGTAAAAACCCCAGTGAGCTGCTCCGCACATGCCCTAAGCACGCGCCCGGGGGTGCCGTCTGGACCAGCAGCCTTTTCGAGTGTTGATCCGGCTCAGTGCAGCGTGGACGTCTGTGGAGGTGAATGAGAGGGGCTGGTTGTCTGCAGGAGGTCTGTTCGTGGTCTGCGTCTCTCTGTTGTCTCTATCGAAACGAGCATAAAAGTGATTTAGCTCATTCAGGAAGGAGACATCTGTGGTTATCGGGGTGGAGTTTCTGGGTTTATAGTCACTGATGGCCTGGATGCCCTGCCACATGCGTCTGGGGTCGGAGTTGGAGAAGTGTTCCTCTACCTTCAGCTTGTAGCAGTGCTTGGCCTTGATGATGCCCCTCCTCAGGTTTGCCCTGGATACGCTGTAGGCCATTGCATCATCTGATCTGAAGGCGGTGTTGCGGGCCTTCAGCAGGAGATGCACCTCCTTGTTCATCCATGGCTTCTGATTTGGGTACGTGGTGATCTGCTTCCATGTTGTAACACTGTCGATGGTGGTATTGATATAATCCAGCACAGAAGAAGTGTAGGTGTCAATGTCTGTGTGAGAGCCCAAGGTAGCCTGAGAAGCAAACATACTCCAGTCTGTGTGACTTGTCCTGAAGTACAGAGTCTGTCCCCACTGGCCACACTTTAATCGTTGTCACTGATGGCTTCACACGTTGGATGAGTGGGGAGTACTTGGGGATGAGGAACAAAGAAAGGTGGTCTGACTGTCCCAGGTGGGGGAGGGGGGTCGTGGTGTAGGCTCCTGCGATGTTTGTGTAAACATGGTCCAGAGTTTTGTTTCCTCTTGTATTGCAGGAAACATGCTGGTGAAATTTAGGGAGCACTGTCTTTAAGTTTGAGTGATTAAAATCACCTGCAACTATAAATGCAGCCTCCGGGTGAGCAGTCTGTTGTTTACTGATAGCGGTGTAAAGTTCCTTCATAGCAGCTTTTGCATCGGCATCAGGGGGAATGTAGGCTGCAGTTACAATAGTGGAGCTGAGCTCCCTTGGCTGATAGAAAGGTCTACATTTAACCATCAGAAACTCAATGTTAGCTGAGCAGTGTCTCCCAATAATGACAGAGTCTGTACACCAAGCTTTGTTAATATAGATGCACAGCCCTCCTCCTCTGGTCTTACCGGAGTCCTCTGCTGTTCTGTCTGCCCGGAGTGTGTGGCGACCGGCTAGCTTGATAGCATCGTCCGGTACTCCGTTGTTTAGCCATGTTTCCGTGAAGATCATGACATTACAGTCCATAAGTCTCTTGCTGTGGATGATGCGAAGTCGTAACTCGTCCATGCCACATGCCAGAGTCTGAACTGGAGTCAAACTGAATCACACTAAACTCCATTTTTCACTCCGCATATGACACACTCAGTTATTCTTCTTCTTTGTATTTTGTCCCTAAGTGTCCTCTGACTGTCCAAATACAAAAATAAAGAAAAGTTATGTGATATTCATTCAGGGTGGAAGAACCAAACCTACAAGTTCATGTTGATGTAAACTCAAAACTCCTTTTCTGATAACCAACTTTCTGAGGATGTCTTTCACTTCATTGTTAGTTTTCAGTTTGGTGCGTCTTATGCTTCTGGATGAAGACTGTCTCTCTTCACAGCCTTCTCAGAAGTGACACACATTGACTAGTCTGCTGAGCTCTCACACATTAAATACACCTGTCAGCAGACCTCTCCAGCCACTCACAGAGGAGCTCTGTAATCAGTGCCAGATTGACTGCAGGTGTAATCGATCTCTTCTCCCCCAGGAGAGAACGAGACTCGAGCGTGATTGAACAGAGGACAAAAAAACACCAAACTTCCCTTCTCAAGTCCCAACAAATCAAAGAAATAGATCACGTAAACATTCAGTTTTCTTTAAACGTACAATATGTAGAAATTTATGAAAATGTTTACGGTTAAATATCTTAATTAATTACAAATGGACTAAACCTTTATTATATTTTGTTGTTGAGTACTTACATTACCTCAAATATTTCCAAACGTTATTAAAGCCAGAGAAATCCGTAATTGAATAGTTGTAACGGCACGTGTCTTGAGTATGTTCTTCTTCTTCTTCTCTCTCGTCCTTGACTAAAACAGCTTTTATACACAAGGGGAGGAGCCGGCCGTCCCGTTCATGTAAACACGGCTCTTACAACAACACAGCCAGCGGGACTCGAGCTTCTCACTCATTGTAGACAGTCAGGACTCAGAGACACATTTACACAGGATAGACTGGATTTATGATTATTTATGTGTAACATGTTGCACATTCTTCCTTAAATATGTATAATAAAAATGTGTTTTGTAATCTATGTCTACGCCTAACATCAAATCTTTTTTGGCCACGTGTCGGTGTCTCGCCCTCCTACCCTCTCCGTGGTGATCTACCTTTGTGGTAGTAAAAAAACCCAGAGTTAACCTTGAAGTGACCTCCATAACCTAGAATCCTGCTCCAAATACCGGCCCCTAATCTGGGAACACGATGGAGGAGAGACTGTGGAGATGAGTAGGTAGTTGCCCATGGGGCCCCCTTTGGGTGGGGAAAAACACTGATTTCCTGATCGAGTTTACATCAACATCAAACAATAATATCGTCCGGATGACGTCTGGTTTCATTTTAAATGTGAAGCTCTTCCTGCAGCTCTTCTGTCCGGGTGAGTTAACTGAAAGCAGGTGCTACAGCGCATCACCATCGGGTCCTTCTAAGGTGTCACACCCTCTATCTCTCCCCCCGTGTCTACTAATAAACTCAGTGCGTCTGTGTGGCTCGTGTCCAGCCTCTCCAAAGACAACGAGGCCTTATAGCAGGGAAACGGGAGCGACCGGCTGCATAACAACGACTTATTATGATGATGAAATGTCCTACAAGACCCCAAACACCCTCTTAGAGAAATCTCTCTCCGATAAGGGGAGTCCAACCCGAGAGGGGGGAGGGGGGGGGGTCCTAACCTGATTGGATCGGCGGCTCGGAGGGGGCGCGCGTAACGAAATCAAATGGCCGTCAAGCCGCTGTCATGCATAATTAATTGGGCCTTCTACGACCAACTACACAAAAATCCATGGTCATTTGATTAGGGGGTTTTGGAGGACTCTCTGAAGTGCATCGCTGTCTGAGCTGCCTCGCCGCTCACCTCTCGATCTGTGTGGAAGGTGGCTCAGTGACATCAGCCCGCCACATGCTCGACTCCAACAAACCGACGCAGACTCAATTCAAACTCTCGTTTCAGTCTCAAGGATAGTTTGGTGTCTTAGATACTCCAGAATAACTGTTTAATCCAGTTGTGGAAAACGTGTGGCCCAAGTGTTCTGAAGGTATCCTCAACCTGCAGAAACAGAAACAGAGCAGATGCCCGTACACGCCCATCCTCTAATGGAAGCTTCTTGTCAATTATGTAGCGAAACAATCAAAAAAGAAAGTCCTTCTGAACGACAACAAGATTGCTCATCAGTGTATTCAAAGTTTGGACATACCTCAGCAGACGTGGGCTAAACCGGTCCCTCACAACAGGTCAAACATGACATAACACTATCCAGTAGCATAGTCAGACTTTCTTGACTCGTGTGGCTGTACCGGGCCTTGGGAGTGTTTTCACTCTCTTTCAACCAACTCCCTCAGGGTCAGAGGTCACTAATTTATAGGTCTCTCAGATGTGATATTTCATGGAAACATGTTGAGCAAAATGAGAGAGCGTATCTCATCAGGATCCAATAAAAATGAAATAAATAAAACACAATTAAAATACACGCACACAAACACACACACCTCCATCCCATTCAATTTCAATCAATCAATGATTTTTTTGTATAGCGTCAACTCATAACAAGTGTTAAAATACCTTAGTCATTGTCTGTTAACATTACAGAAGAGCAGGTAAAAAGACCTTACTCATTGTTATGTTACAAAAAGCAGGTAAAAGACCTTACTTAGTGCTATATTACAAAGACCCGGCCTATCCATCATGAGCACTTTAGCAAAGCAGTAAAAGTTACTATCATTGTACTCAAGTGTAAAATTGTCCATAGCAGCCTTATATTAGGTGCTAGTGACTATGATCCCTGAGATATAAATACATATCTCAACTACAACTATAACTAAGGACTTGGGTTGAGAATTGGAGGGTCACCGGTTCAAGTCCTGGTGCGGAACACAGTATGGAAGTTGGAGAGGTGCCAGGTCACTTCCTGAGTACTGCAGAAGTCCCCTTGAGAAAGGCAGCGGACCCCCAACTGCTCTGGTGCTCTTTCATGTGCAGCCCCTTCACTCTGACATCTCTCCATCACTGCATGTTGGTGCATGTGTACATGTCAGGCCAATGTGTGTGAGAATAACAGAGTGTAAACCAGAGTGTCCCCTCAGGGACTGATGCAGTATGTCAACAAAATATCACAAAAAAAAACCAATCAGTGTCTTTTTCTGAGTTTAAAACAAGCTCTTCATATCTACAGACGGAGCAGAGATAATCAGTGTGTGAATGCCGCCATCTGGAGGAGATAAGAGGAACTACAGCATAGAAATGACAACTCACAGACGAGTCAAATTCAGCAAGATTTTATTCCAAAAAAAGCGTATATTCAGGAATTAAAGATGCATATACTTACATGTGTAAATAGATAATGTTCAAATACACAAAGTGGGAAAACAATGTGCTTCAGTAGCTGCAATGTCTGTACGCACATCCTGTGCATACATGAGAATGTCTTTTGGGGGATGTGGCTTCTCACACAGCTCCTTTCATTTCAGGAGATTACTTTCTTTTTTTCTTTTAAACGATGAGCCCACATCCCCCTTAAAAAAAAAAAGTTTCAACATCCTTGTTTTTCTCTGCTTTATGGAAGACAGCTCCCTCCACTCTCTCATGATTCTTCACCACGTCAAATGAATTCACGACCAATGAGGACACAACAAAAAAAAAAAAAAAAAGTCCA